GCAGCGGGAGCATGGCTGGCGGCAGGTGCCAGAGCAGCCCCCCAACCAGGGTCTCTGCCGCGCAGGGAATTACCGCACCCAGCTGTGGGACAAGCAGTCGGAGTCGTTCCTGCCCTCCACCCCGGGGCTGGGCATGCACGTGGAAGTGAAGGACCCGGACGGGAAGGTAATGCTGCTGGCGGGGGCTGGGCTGGGGCTGGCAGCCTCCTGTCCGGGACTGGCCTTCCTGCGTGGGGACAGAGCCCACTTGTCCTGGTGCCTCCCGTAGGTGCCGTGGGGCCGCTGCTGCCCTTTGGGGCCAGCTGGCAGGGCTGCGGCCTTCCCTGCCCCAGTGCTTCCCTTGCCTGGGAGCTCTGCCCATCCTGGGGGCTCTCGTGGCTCAGTCGCTGTCCGTTCTCGTCCGTCTCTTGCGGGAGAGCAGCTGGAACCCTGCCGGGTGGCCAAGAGGAAAGAGCTGTGGCCTCTCGTGCCTGACTGGGATCCCTGGGCTCCAGTCCTGCCATCTCTCCCAGCGTGAGCGCGGGCAGCTGCCTGCCCTCTCCGTGCCTCAGTTTCCCAAGCTGTAGCAGAGGGGTAGTGCCCACTGCTTGTCCAAGGGGGAAGTGGGTCCTTCCTCGGGCTGGAGGGAGAGGGCCGGAGGTGTGTGGCCGATACCCACGTGTGCCGTGTTGCGGGGAGCCCCGTGCCTCTGACCCCACCTGTTCCCTGGGCAGCGCGTGCACCTGGACATCCAGGTCGGGGAGCACACCAACAACTACCCCGAGATTGCAGCCAAGGACAAGCTGACAGAGCTGCAGCTCCGAGCCCGGCAGCTGCTGGACCAGGTGGAGCAGATCCAGAAGGAGCAGAACTACCAAAGGGTGCGTGGGGGTTGGCTTGGAGGGTCGCTGGGCTCGCCGTCCCCAGAAAGGCCAGGGCCGTGACGCCGGCCCGCTGAGCGGTGGTTAGTGTTCCGGGGCCTTGCAAAGGGCCAGCCCGGTGGCGGGGCAGAGAGGGCTCAGGGGGACGTGCAGGCTGAAAACACACGTGTTCCACCAAAGGGGGAGTGGGAGATGCCTTTGGGCTGTGGGTGGGTAGGGGGGCACAGGGCACCTGGGCAGCAGCTGGCTGTGCCAGTCCCTCTGCTCTGCTGGTTCTCGTCTGTCGCGCCTGGGACCACTGGGCCTGAGCGGGTTGGGGCCTGCTTAGCTGGGCGCAGTTGGTGGGGAATGTAAGGGGGGTGGGCTGCCCTGGTTTGGATGGCGTTAGTGAGGGGGTGCGTGCCTCAGTTTACCTGCTTGAGCATGTGAGGAGGGCACCGTGACCCCTTTGGGGCAGATGGAAAGGGGGCTGCCGGGGTCGGGGGCGGGTTTCCCACCCGGGGCGGGCTTCCCACCCTCTCTGACCCCGCTCCTCAT